CACCTTCCTTTGAAGAAAGGGATGTAATGATGTCTGAATGTAGATGTAGGGCTTGGGTGTTGGGACAGGGAGATGCAGCTACTGGTACCAAGAGTCTGAGTACCAGCTAGGGGGCAACAAAGAGTAAGTGAAAATAAACTATTTAGTTCACTTACTGAAAACCATAAAATATTCCTAGCAATGACACCCTTCTCATAGGAACATGTTTCTCCACCTGACATAGAAACTTGGAAAGCAGTACAGTTTGTTGTAGTTGAGCTCCAGTTTGTTTTCAGGTTTCTAAAATAATAAAGGTCATATTTGCAGTGCGGTAAGGGACAGAGACGCTTGATGAATGGAAAGAGAAAAACACACAAAATACTGATAAATGTATTGGCTGTTATTCACTATATGATCAGCAGGGCTGGGTTTACACCTTACATGCCCTAGGCTTAGCATCTTCAGCTCCACCCTCCACTCCCTGTCCACAGCTGCCCTTTGTGTTGTCCATAAAAATGAAAGGAAAAGAAATATAAACACAGCCTCCTCAGGAAGGCACAAACCCCTCCACCATGCCTGGCACTCCCAGCCTGCACCAAGGGGCAACCTGCACACCCTAGGTGAGGCATGAAGGAGGAAATGGCTCTCTCTCCATGGTGCCCAGTCCCCAAATGTCTTCCCTCCCTCCCGCAGCTCTGCAGAGCAGCTGCACTCCGCCTCTGCCTATGCAAGTGAATGAGACACCAACCACACCCTTCCCTCTCTCCTTGGAATAGGGTGATTGAGATTGGGAAGGGAGGTGGATGTGCCCAGCCCCTTCAACAGCCACCGTACCTGTCTGTGATTCACAGCATCCTCAGGCAGGCTGACTCAGAATCTCACCCTGCTCTAGCCACTCATGCTGGGTGGCTACCAATCTGTACCAGGAGCCTGGATTCCTGGAGGGCAGCTGTATTAACTTTTGACTCACTTTTAACTTCTAAGCTGCCTCCTTCCGCCCCAGAACACCTGCACCCATAGGCACATGTCTACTGTGCCTAATTGGAAATCCAGCCTGGATGATCAGAATGATCCTGTCTGCTCTTGGGATCTATGAATTTAATAGGTGGACCATCAGAAAATATTCTAGAGAAAGGGACCATGAAGAGCACAATCTTGAGCAAAATCAGTGTTTTTAAAAGCCGCAACAGGGATGACATGTCCATAATGGGTCTAAGTGAAATGAAATGGGGAGATACAACATCTCTTTCTTTGCTAGCAACTTTGTTAGGGTAAGGTCCAGCTCACACTCAAGCTGCTGTTTTGCTATTAGATTAAAGGATACAGGACAAGCTCACGATGCTGTAAGATACTTAAGCACATGTCTGACTTAAGCCTCCAAGAAGCCCCATTGGCATTGTATGCTTAAAATTAGGTATGTGCTTAAGTGCTTTGCTGAACCACAGCCTTAAATCTTTCTCAAAAAGCCCTTTTTTGCTGTAACACCTTGCTGTGTGAAAAAATACTGTCAAAACAAATACAGGTTAAAAACACTTGCAGCCACACCCCAAAGGTACTTTGGGTTAGGAATTGTTTGTTTTCCTTCCCCTGCCTACCCTACTCCCATAGCGTGCAACCAAGCAGAATCCTGACAGAATGGCCAGTCTTAGGAAAGAATAGTTCATCCTTTGCAGTAGATCTTTGATGCTCTACCAGTATTTTTTCATCCCACCAAAGATTGTACGAGTTATGCATCCTGACAAAAATCAGAAGGGGCTGAATCCTTCCCCAAATGTGTAGCACTCCTGCTGCTATGACCTCTGGCTATAAAAAGGGCTCTATTACAGGGGAGTTCTGATCACTACACCGGCAATTTCTCCATTCTGGTCATTAGTCCCTGAGGGTATGTCTTTACTTGCACCCTCTTTCGAGAGAGGGATGCAAATGCAGACATTTGAAATTGCAAATGAAGCCAGAATTTAACTATCCCGCACTTCATTTGCATATTTGCGTTATGGTGCTATTTCGAAATAACAGATGCTGTTACGACACAGTGATTTTGAGAGAAAACCCTTCTCTCGAAATAACTTCTCAAAATAAGGGTTTTCTCTTGAAATAACTGTGTCTTAACAGCATCTGTTATTTCGAAATAGCGCCATAACGCAAATATGCAAATGAAGCGCAAGATAATTAAATCCCAGCTTCCTGTGCAATTTCGAATGTCTGCATGTGCATCCCTCTCTCGAAAGAGACTGCAAGTCTAGACATACCCTGATTTCCCTCCCCCACCATGAAACATTATTCTGCAGTTCAAAGGTATGAAGTGACATTCTTGGCAACACATTCGCTCCTTGCACTGGACAGTGGAACAATTGTGTTTTGCTGTTTAGATTCCCATGATCATTAAGACTAGGGACAGGATTTAATATTTAATCCATTAATTTTTCTGTTTTCAGCTACCATTCATTCAACACATAAATTCCTAATTCCCATTAAGTTTTATGAAAAAAATCACTGCATGAGCATAACTAAAGGTGTGTTTATCCCCCAGAACTAACATGCATGTTGTAATACACTTGAAAAGGGAGACTGGAATTGCTTTCCACAATATAAACCTTTCTCTTGGTGTCTTCTATACTTCTTAAATAGGCCAAAGTGGTGAGGAGGGAAAGCAGAGATTAAATTAACCTGCTTTGTCAATTACCTGGTCTGCTGTAATGCTGAGGAGAATGGGATGTTGGAGTGTAGCGACCATAACCCAGAGATCCAGTAGAACTCGGACTTGATGTCCTATACTGTTTGAAAGATCTATCGTCTTGGTCACCCTGAGAAGAAAGGCGGGGGGAGGGGGGGAGAAATCTAAGTCAATAGGAAAGACAGAATGAATTGCAAGACATTCAGAAGTTATCCAAACTCCACTGTTGTTTTTCTGCCATGTATGCAAAGGGTCCAATTCTGTCCTCATGCTCCATGCAATCATAATGAATACAGCCATACACATCTCACATCTTCTATGATTAGAGCAGTCCCAGAGTTGCCAGACATGTCAGAGAATGGTCATATAAACACAGGAGGCAACATGTGAGAAATGAGTCCAAAATGAAGATACACTTTGAAAAGAACATATTATAGCAGAAATGTTCTGTTTTAGCTCCACAGGCCAGATTCCCAATTTGTTTGTGCCTTATGTATTTGTTTATACCCAAGCAAAGTAAATGTAAGATGGGACCCAATAAGACTGACAGCATTTTACATTCATTTTGTACATGTAGAAATGACTATGCAAGGTGCCAGCCAGTATAGAAGCAAGCTTCATCTGCTTAATTACAGTATGCAGATCTAATGTGCCTTTTGTATAAACACACTCAGTTCTACAAACCAAACACATCCAGTAATATTTAGGTGATCAATTTATGCATCAATATGTAGCTTAGATTTAATGTTTGAGCATTAACACTTCCCATTTAAATCTATATTCTAATTCCTGCAAATGTACCTCGTAAGGCTTTTCCCTTAGGCAGATTTAGTCCACTTCTCCCAAAATCACTGCATAGATTTTAATTTGCTTTTTAGAAAATTAAACTACAAACTGGTGGCTGAAAAAGTTTTGTTTTTTTAGGAAGCAAAGCGCTACTTACGTAGAAACCACTTTTGAATAATTAGCATAATTCTGGGATTCCATTTTCTTAGTTCTTATTTAGGAAAATCATAATCTGCCTGATTCAAGGTGAATTAAAAAAATAACAGTCTCAGATTAATCTGTCCTAAAGAAAACCTGTGTGAAGGGTCCTAAGAAATACCCTTGCAGAATGCTTCCCCCAATATTACATTGTTGGGGTGGGAGAGAGAGAGAGTGTTCCTCAAAGTATGTCACAAAGCCACCCTCCATCTTGGGAGATCTCTAGGGATGTCTGAATTCTAAGGGACCAGCTGATGGCCAGGCCCTGTATCATAGAATAGAATAATAGGACTGGAAGGGACCTCGAGAGGTCATCGAGTCCAGCCCCCCGCCCTCAAGGCAGGATCAAGCTCCGTCTACACCATCCCTGACAGATGTCTATCTAACCTGTTCTTAAATATCTCCAGAGAGGGAGATTCCACCACCTCCCTTGGCAATTTATTCCAATATTTGACCACCCTGACAGTTAGGAATGTTTTCCTAATGTCCAATCTAAACCTCCCCTGCTGCACTTTAAGCCCATTACTCCATGTCCTGTCCTCAGAAACCAAGAGGAACAAATTTTCTCCTTCCTCCTTGTGACACCCTTTTAGATATTTGAAAACCACTATCATGTCCCCCCTTAATCTTCTTTTTTCCAAACTAAACAAGCCCAGTTCATGAAGCCTGGCTTCATAGGTCATGTTCTCTAAACCTTTAATCATTCTTGTCGCTCTTCTCTGTACCCTTTCCAATTTCTCCACATCTTTCTTGAAATGTGGCGCCCAGAACTGGACACAGTACTCCAGCTGAGGCCTAACTAGCGCAGAGTAGAGCGGCAGAATGACTTCACGAGTTTTGCTTACAACACACCTGTTAATACAACCTAGAATCATATTTGCTTTTTTTGCAACAGCATCACACTGTTGACTCATATTCAACTTGTGGTCCACTATGACCCCTAGATCCCTTTCCGCCATGCTCCTTCCTAGACAGTCGCTTCCCATCTTGTATGTATGGAACTGATTGTTCCTTCCTAAGTGGAGCACTTTGCATTTCTCTCTATTAAACCTCATCCTGTTTACCTCCGACCATTTCTCTAACTTGCTAAGGTCATTCTGAATTATGTCCCTATCCTCCAAAGAAGTCGCAACCCCACCCAGTTTGGTATCATCTGCAAACTTAATAAGAGTACTCTCTATCCCAATATCTACATCATTGATGAAGATATTGAACAGTACGGGTCCCAAAACAGACCCTTGAGGAACTCCACTTGTTATCCCTTTCCAGCAGGATTTAGAACCGTTAACAACAACTCTCTGACTACGGTTATCCAGCCAATTATGCACCCACCTTATCGTGGCCCTATCTAAGTTATATTTGCCTAGTTTATCAATAAGAATATCATGCGAGACCGTATCAAATGCCTTACTAAAGTCTAGGTATATGACATCCACCGCTTCTCCCTTATCCACAAGGCTCGTTATCTTATCAAAGAAAGCTATCAGATTAGTTTGGCATGACTTGTTCTTCACAAACCCATGCTGGCTATTCCCTATCACTTTATTACCTTCCAAGTGTTTGCATATGATTTCCTTAATTACCTGCTCCATTATCTTCCCTGGGACAGACGTTAAACTGACCGGTCTATAATTTCCTGGGTTGTTCTTATTCCCCTTTTTATAGATGGGCACAATATTTGCCCTTTTCCAGTCTTCTGGAATCTCCCCTGTCTGCCATGATTTTTCAAAGATCATAGCTAAAGGCTCAGATACCTCCTCTATCAGCTCCTTGAGTATCCTGGGATGCATTTCATCAGGACCTGGTGACTTGCTGACATCTAACTTTCCTAAGTGATTTTTAACTTGTTCTTTGTGTATCCTATCTTCTAAACTTACCCTCTCTCTGCTTGTATTCACTACGTTAGGCACACCTCCAGACTTCTCGGTGAAGACCGAAACAAAGAAGTCATTGAGCATCTCCGCCATTTCCAAGTTCCCTGTTACTGCTTCTCCCTCCTCACTAAGCAGTGGGCCTACCCTGTCCTTGGTCTTCCTCTTGCTTTTAATGTATTTATAAAAGGTCTTCTTGTTTCCCTTTATGCCTGTAGCTAGTTTGATCTCATTTTGTGCCTTTGCCTTTCTAATCTTGCCCCTGCATTCCCGTGTTGCTTGCCTATATTCATCCTTTGTTAGTTGTCCTAGTTTCCATTTTTTATATGACTCCTTTTTTATTTTGAGATCATGCAAGATCTCCTTGTTAAGCCAAGCTGGTCTTTTGCCATATTTTCTATCTTTCCTACACAGCGGAATTGTTTGCTTTTGGGCCCTTAACAACGTCCCTTTGAAATACTTCCAACTCTCCTCAGTTGTTTTTCCCTTCAGTCTTGCTTCCCATGGGACCTTACCTACAAGTTCTCTGAGCTTATCAAAATCTGCCTTCCTGAAATCCATAACCTCAATTGTGCTGGTCTCCCTTCTACCTTTCCTTAAGATCATGAACTCTATTATTTCATGATCACTGTCCCCTATACTGTCTTCCACTTTCAAGTTCTCAACTAGTTCCTCCCTATTTGTTAAAACCAAATCCAGAACAGCTTCTCCTCTGGTAGCTTTTTCAACCTTCTGAAACAGAAAGTTGTCTCCAATGCAGTCCAGAAACTTATTGGATAGCCTGTGCCTCGCTGTGTTAGTTTCCCAACATATGTCTGGATAGTTGAAGTCCCCCATCACCACCAAATCTTGGGCTTTGGATAGTTTTGTTAATTGTTTAAAAAAGGCCTCATCCACCTCTTCCACCTGGCTAGGTGGCCTGTAGTAGACTCCTAGCATGATATCACCCTCGTTTTTTACCCCTTTTAGCTTAACCCAGAGACTCTCTACACAGCTATCTCCTACGTTCATCTCCACTTCAGTCCAAGTGTGTACATTTTTAATATACAAGGCAACCCCTCCTCCCTTTTTTCCCTGTCTGTCCTTCCTGAGCAGAGGCCTTGTGTCTCCTTATGTGCTTTTCCCTTGTCCCAGCACTCTCTCCCAAATTTCTGGCAGTGCAGATCCATCACATCCACAGAGCCAGGGATGACTCCTGATCACAGCTGCTCTGTGATTTGCCCAGAGTCCTAGGAATATTCCATAACCCAGAATTGGGACAACATACATCAATTGGCCCCAGTTCAGCCATCATTTACTTTCAGTGCTTTCCCTGTTTTCTTTCCCTGGGCAGGTCCCAGACTCACAAAGTACTCTTTGCAGGGTTCAAAAGAGGAGTCGTGGTGCCAGAGGGACACTTTCACATGGGTGAAAAGGCATCTGTGCCTAATGGATTCCCTCCAGGTGTGTATATGAGATAGGAAAGTAAAGAGTGATCAGGGTCTGTAGAAGCATTTGAAGATGTGGCCCTCAAAAAGGATGACCTGCAGATTTAGGGGCCTACTGTGCCGTCAAAAATACAGTCATGCAGAGCAAGCGGTTTTTTATGAAGCCACATGGCAATGGACAACAATGTATCTGAAGATAGAAACAAGACCTTGAGGCGTTTTTTTTAAAATGCCTGTTTAAGAATTCAAAATGGTCCAAAAAAAGGAAAATTATTTATGCCTGTATTCCCAGCCTTCACTTTTGATTGCCACCAACGGCTCCCTATGCTCACTTAAATCCCATGCTCATGCTGAAATACTTCTGAATGCCCTTTCCTAAGTAGTTGCATATCATCTACATTCTTACTTCTGAATAACGTACCCCAGGCAAAACAGCATAATGTCTTTGGGAGGCATTCTTTATGAAGTAGAACCTAATGAATAGTTATTTACCCACCATAGCAGTGTCACTAATACGCTAAATAGTGTACAGGCAGTCCCCGAGTTACATACAAGATAGGGACTGTAGGTTTGTTCTTAAGTTGAATTTGTATGTACGTCGGAACTGGTACATATTGTAGGGGAAACTCTAGCCAAATATTTCTCCAAATATTTCTCAGTTTTATTCTCCCACACCTCACTTCCCTCAGTCCTTTATTCTCAAGCTGAGGTGTCTGCTGAGAAAAGCCGCTCCACGTCTCCCTGGTCTGCTGGGGGGTGGGGGGGGGGCGCTAGCTTCGCATCTCCCTGGTCTGCTGGGGGGAAGCAGCTAGTGCGGGGTTGCCTCACCCCGTTTGTAAGTAGGGATCCGATGTAAGTCGGATCCATGTAACCCGGGGACTGCCTGTAGTATATTAATCTTGAGGAAAGTCCTGTAATGCTACTTATTTCAAAGCAGGCTGAATAGGAATGTAGGTAACAAGTACAGTGCCATCCTCAGCACAGAAAATATATTCTGCAGTGTGAGAGCAAACTATGGGCATATTTCAATATCCTTAAAGAATGTATGTGACTTCATGAATCACAACCGTTTTAAGACAAAGTACCAATATAACCTTTGGAGATTACTATTATGTCGGACAACAGATGGCCAGAAAGTGAGGTTATTATACTTCTAAAATACTGATATTTCCACTTTGATTATCTCAATCTTTACTTTCTGCATCTCTTTGGTCTCTGTAGGAAATAGTCTGCTAAAATCATGAAATACAACAATAAAAATAGTATCTTTCTTTTTAAAAAAGTTATCAAATAAATTACATTTCTAATTGATAACTACTTTTCTCTCTGAGTTCTAGTAACAGTTTGTACTTTATGATATTTAAGGGAAACTATCAATTCTTATTGGGCTGAAATGTTCTATCTGTTACAATAATTTTACAACAGCTTAATTCCACTTAGTACAATGAAGTGAAAAGAGGACATAAAATTGGTGAAGTAATGAGTCATGCCTGCCAGATTTATTTATTTTCCATCTACATAAACTAGAAATCACTGTTCCTGAAAGTGGTATTTTTTGGGTGTGATGTTGTTGTGTTGTTTCCAAAGTGGTATTCCTTGAACTGGCATCTTTAACAATGATGTGTTCTGGGTACTGGTACAGTTCCATTAAAGTCAATGGATGTATACTGATCAGCTGTGTATCTGACTCCAGATGTGTGCAAATATACAGACAGATAGTTTAATTACATGAATATACAGATGGTTTAACCTTGTGTGGGGAAAAAGTGGATAGAAAGAGCCACATCAAGGCCCTAGTCCAGGCCAACTAAAAAAGTTAGTTGTTAAATCCAAAAGCAGATTACAGTTCCGAATGTTATTTATTTGGTAACATATGACAAAAGTTATGATCATCTAAACTGTATTACATGAACTATTTCTGAAATAGAAATGCAGATGACAGTCAATGAAACAGAAACATTCAGGTGACAATATAGAAGCACAGCAGCTGTTTGATATAAGTAACAGTATTAAAGAAACCTCTTTATAAAGACATCATGGCTCTGCAGACTCAGGAGGCAAACCATCCATATTTCAGGCTCTGATGATTATCTTTATAAACAAGTCTAGTGAATCATGAAATAGATCAGAACAGAACAAAGGCACTAGGGATTACCTCAGTAAGTGTTGGAGAGAGCAACTGAGGTGACTGCAAACGGCAACACACAAAGTGACAAATTAGTCATACAAAATTCATGCATGGTGCTATTTGTGAGAAATGCTATTTTAACGATATCAACATCCAGGTGCAACACATATGACACAAACAGTTTAAACAGGACATCTACCAATTAGATAAAAAAATTCCAAATTAGATTTTTTAAATAAAAACAAGAAAGAGTAAAAATGAAAATCTCTTCCTTACACAGCTATATAATTATTTCATTTCAAAAGAGAATTCCATGGCTAGGTTGTACTCTATTGAATCCTACAATAAGGACTGCACCTTTAATAGAACCCTCCCCCCCCCCACTTGTTTAAAGCAACTACTTTAAAATAGAGAAAAGCCTGTGCCAAACCTCTGTCTAAATACAGCTGAGGTTTGGGTTGGAACTTGGAAGCTCAGCCCATCTCTGCTTTAAAATATTCCAAGATATCAGTACATGACCCCCATCATTAATTAGAGAGCAGCTTTATTTGACAGCTAATTTTTGCTGTTACCTTATTTTTCTCTGACAATTGGTAGAGAAATTCTGCTCTCTGCTACACCACTGTAAATCCAGAGTAATTTTATTGAAACCAATACTGAAATTCATATAACAGAGCACAATTAGATCCTGTTTTTTAAAACAGTGTAGTGAAGTCACAGGCATTAAGCATACATTACATTTATGCCTAGCATTAAACTATGCTGATTTTGCCATAGCTAGTTAGTTTAAAGTAACCTAATATGACCTAAATGTAACTGAGTAACACACCGCAAGGAAATTTTAGCATTAGGATTTTTAGAAACATTTTATATTCTTTTTAGTCTTCTCAACCTATCATCTCTGAAACAGAAGGCTCTGACAGACAGCTCAGTTTATGAGGCATTTATGACTAAACTGTTTGGCTCCACCAGTCTAAAAATAAGTGCTGCACTCACAGAAATGTTTCTATCTATTTAAAAATATTTCATTTGGTCTTGAAAGTAAAAGGAATTTAACAACCTTTTTCAATAGCTAAAGATGCATAATGTCCATCAGGTAAAGGGGGATACATGGATGTCTGCGTGGACAAGAATATACAACTCACAACCTAACCTTGGAAAGAACAAGCAGAATCATACCTGTTTTATAAGGTAATGCAAAACTATGGAATGGCACTGTTGAATTGGCAAAAAGCAGGGCTACTGTTAGGTGTCAAATGATTAATGGTGAATGAGGGTCTGATTGAACCAATTACGGGCTCCACAAAGTAGCTTCCCAATTCACATATAAGGAACTGCTCCTTACAGGGAGAAATTTAAGGTGCCCTGAGGTTTTTTCATTAACCCAGGCCACACTGAAAGTGAAAGTTTCACCTCAATGCAGACAATCTGGTTTTTACCACAGGCTTTGATGGAGTCAGGATATCATTCCTAAACATATTCAGTCCCTACTAGGGATTTACAGGTTTTATGAATATAATTGTGCTTATTATTAATATCTCACTATTCGCCTATTGCTTTATTGGGCTTTCTGCTCTAACACTCTATTCTCAAATTCCTATATCACACCTCCCAACTACATCTTCCAGTGCCCTCTGTAATGGAGAGGGTCTGATACCCTTGATACCATAGAACAACACCTTACTCCACAGTCTAGTTGATTTCAGGTGGTCAATTCAAAGAATAAGGCACACTCCATTGTGAGCAGGGATGGCAGAGTCTGGACATATGATACAGGAAATACTTGGGTCCTAAGGAGACCACTGGGTTAAGATGCTGTATGTCCTATACATACAAAAACAGTCACAAGATTCCCTTGAGAGCAAATCCTTTCATTTTGAATGTGTTGTGTTTCAACTTCTGAACCACACAAGTAAGACTACTCAGGGTTATATCTTAGTTTATGGATTGGCAAAAAAACCCAACCCCCCCCCCCCCCCCCCCCACACAAAAACCCATTCATCACTAATATGCATAGGCACCAATAAAAAACCTAGGCAGGTACTAGAAAGTCAAACTGCCAATGTAGCAGCATCATTCCCACTAGCAAGATTTCCAACAGGTGGGAAGAACTGCAATTAAGCAATGTTTCCAGTGTTTTAGATTATTTCCCAGGTGGATCATTAATACAGGCATAGAAATAATCTTTCAAATAATATTTTTGTTTGGAATTAATGTGAAATTGAAAAGGGGTAACTCAGCTTGTCTAAAATTCAGGGAGAGGTCAACATTTTTTAAATCCCGAAGAAATCTTATGAAGAAAGAAAGTGGAAAAGGCCAATTAAGGTCTTTACAGCCCCATGAAAAAAGCAGGATTGTTCCCTGCAGTACATTTACTTGTGCCTTTTTGAACAGTTATCTGTATAAAGTACATATGTAAGTTTTTGCAGGATTTGTGCCTTTATTATTCTATCACTATTATTTCAAGCATTTATTTAGACCCATCTATTTACATCAAAGTTAAGCTAATGTTCACAGCAATTAATTTTTCACAGAAATTTTAATTTAAAAAATCTAAAACTAGAAAAGAAATTAGAAAATGAAATGAAGGGCAAACATGAGAGAAAAAGAAAAACTACCTTGTATGACAGGAGTTATGTAAAAATACGTTTCACATAAAACATCATTAGAATTAAATTACTTTAGCAAAAATGTTATAACATTAGCTCTGCACTTGAAAAAGGCAATATGTATGCATGACATGAAGATTAACTTTATTATGGGGTGGTTGAAAGGAATTTGTACACAGAAAAATGATACCTTTGTTGTGGTACAGTACCAAAATAACATGCTACATTTAACAAAAGCATGAAGAGTATTTGGTTTGCCTTCTGATCTTTGTGTTATAATTAGCAATGGTTCCTATTTTCTACCACATGCAAGTATAATTTCTTTGGCAGAAAAATGTACTTTTATTAAATCTCATTTGTTTATTTTTTAAATCAATCACAAAAAGTTATATTTTAATTCCCATGAACTAACGAGTGAAATGTGAAACCCCACTTGTTCTACTATTCAAGTGATTATGAATGCATAAAATAACTCCCACGAATACAAGTTTACAAAAATTGCAAATGTGTCTAATAGTGTAGACACAGTGATGTGTTTAATGACTTATATTAATTTTTAGATTAACAAAAAAAACACAGGTTTCAGTACCTCCCCATAACTATGCCTGTCATCTGAAGAGTAACTGATATATGGAGAATAGGAGATCATATCTGGGCGGTCAATGTTATAGATGGCTTTATTTTTAGGAAGAGCAGCCAAATCCCTGTAGTCAAGAATTTCATCTCCAAGCTTTGCCTAAGAAAAGGAGGAAAGAAAGCAGTAAAGACAAGAAGGAATATGAGCAATACACAGTCAGAAAAGGATGGACCCATATAGGTAGAACCACCATAAACATTAACAGTAGCATTAATTAATATTAACATTTGTATGTCTGAGAATTTAAAAACTTTTCACTGCTTATCACAAGATCCTAAATGCATATAATTAATTTCTTTATAAATGTTCATGACTGTCAGCCATTCAAGTTTAGAGTATAGTGGTAATGTTGGTAATTGTAGTTTTCTTCCATTTCTATCCTGCTGACTATTAGCTATGCAAAGAGACAGCAGGGCTAACCTTGTAATCATGGGCTGGTCAAAAGAACCATTTCCTCTAAGGAGATTTTGGATTGCAGTGTTTATTTTCTTTTCCCATTATGGATGATAAAGAATAATCAAATTCTTCTTTCCAGCACTAACTATCCCCTATCCAGATGCTGAAATGCTGCTGGTCAGTAATTTCTCCCATGCAAAAGAGCTGCTTATTCTGTCCTACAGTTCCTGCATAACTAATCTCCAGTAAAATTGCATTACTGTGTGTGATCCGTACCCTGCAACTGAAGTTAGGATCTGTCTCCATGGAGCTCATTGCAAGATCAAGGTTTATGTTTGTAAGGCACCAAACTAAGGTCCTAAGCCTGTAAATACGTGTGTAGCTCCCTGGAATTCAATGAAGCCAAGCCAGTTTACATGAGGTTTGGATGATCTGGCTCTGAGACTATTAAAAAGCCTGTAAGTTTCACAGCACTCATTAGCTGTATCTATATACCTCAGAGTAGCTTGCCCTGACCCCTCTTATGCCTCAGTTTGGATGGAACATGATTTTGAGATGGATCAATGTACGCAATTTCTCTCTCTTTTTTGGGGTACATTTTATCTGCATGCAATACTACCTTCAGGAATATAGAACAAAATATGAATTTATTTATGTGCTGTAAGTAAACATATAAAACACCTTATAAAATTGCAGGAACACCGTATAAAACAAAATCCCAGGAACAAAATAAAATGGAAAACAAACATCCTCTTAGAATCACTTAAAGCAATTGCAAAAGTAAATACATTTCACCCCACTGCTTCCACTTATACAGAATAGATTTGTCTCAGGTAATCCAACTGTTATATGCATTGGGGTAAACAAATACCCATTCTTCCTTCCATAAAGCTATCTCAGAGAGTAACTGATCCTAAACACACTACTCCAGCTGTTGCCTACCACCATCTCCTTCATTATCTATTTCATTCAGCCCCCATTCTTCATTATGAACCTAAAGATACCAAGCCTTTCTAGAAAAAATACATTGTAGTATAATTCCTTCCACATGGCCCACCCAAATACAGGACATTTGAATGAAAACACATTTTGTTACAGACAACATGGCCCAGATCCGCTCTTACTACCCCACATCTGAATAGGTAAATTGTATGGTGGGTCATGTATGTAGGGCTGGGACAGAGGACTGATTGTGGGGTTTAGGAGGGGGTTCAGGGTAGGAGATTAAGACGGAGGGTTAGGGCTGTGAGCTCTGACTGGGCGCCACTTACCTTGGGCAGCACTGCAGTGGGGCTAAGGCAGGCTCCCCATGTGCCCGGCTCCACATTACTCCAAGAAGCAGGCAGCAGCTCCTGGGAAGGGGGCAGGTGGTTCTGCATGTTGCCCTCATCTGCAGGCACCATCCCCACAGCTTTCATTGACTTCAGTTCCCCATTCCTGGCCAATGGGAGCAGCAGAGATGGCACCTGCTGGTGAGGACAGCATATGGAGACCTCTGCCCCCATCTCAGGGGCTGCAGGGGCATGCCAACCACTTCCAAGAGCGGCACAGGGCCAAAGCAGGCAGGGAGCTGCCACTGGACTAGTAATCCTAAGGACCATGTTAAAAGCTCCGATGGGCCAGATGCAGCCCCGGGGCTATAGTTTGCCTACTCCTGTTAAGGGACCAAGTGCATCTTTACACCACTTGCATAATCAGTGTCTCACCATCTACTCTTCTATTATACCTGTGCTGGGGAGAAATGAAGTGTGTATTCTCTACATGCCACTGTAACAGGAGTGCAAAGAAGACATGCTCTGAAATAACATACGAATTCAATAACAACTGATTTGACTTCTCCTCCCTTTCTCTTCCCAGACATATAAATGGGAGTTAAACAATCTCAGAACTTTCTGACAATTAATACACATGAGAATGAGAGATACAGCAAAAACTGACATGCCCATGGGAATATTTTTCTCTGACTGACACAGCAAACTTGCTTCTTTTGAAGTACCAGCTGCCTCTAAATAAGTATGTCACACTTACTGACTTAAGACACTTTGAAAAACACAGTTTAGACAGAGAATGAGAATGGAGGTTTGTCCTTGACTATTAGCCACCCACGAAGCATACTTAATCACTGTCTTCAAGAAAAATGCTTGCAAGTACAACACCACAGCTACATATTTGCCACTACATGTATAAATCAAATAGAAAAATGTGAAAAAGTAATAGAAAGGCATAAGGGTAGAAATACCTCACACAGGTGACCATCTGGGCAAGGAAAATATGGTTAGGTGAGAAAAATCCCAGTTCACAATGAATATGTCTGTGCTGATGATGGCCATGTCATTGTTAGAGGAAGCATTTTAAAAACATGTCAGGTTAGAGCAATATGGAGTTCCTGCCAGAAAGGCAAGACCAAGCCCTACTGTCCTCCCTCAGGCTGCATCTAGACTGGCATGATTTTGCGCAAAGTTTTTCCGTTAAAAGTATTTGTGCAAGAGAGTGTCTATACTGGCATGTGCCTTTGCGCAAAAGATTTGCTTTTGCGCAAAAGCATCCATGCAAGTGTAGACGCTCTCTTGCGCAAGAAAGCTCCGATGGCCATTTTAGCCATCGGGCTTTCTTGCGCAAGAAATTAATGTTGCTGTCTACACTGGCCCTCTTGCTCAAGAATACTTGTACATTACAAAGTCAGTGTTTTTTTGTACATTACAAAGTCAGTGTTCTTGTGCAAATACTTGCAGCCAGTGTAGACAGGCAAAATCATGCCAGTCTAGACACAGCCTCAGAATTTAGTCAAGCAAAATTCCCATTCATAGTAATTTTACCTAAAGAAAGACTGCAGCCTTTGGCTCCAAGGCATCTCTCTGGTAGTAAGTACAGACACCTACACTTCATAAAATATACATCACGTTATAAACTGGTAAACTGTGGTCTATAGCTATTCTTTCTAGCTTTCATGCTGTGCCTCAGTGTCACTGCATGGGCCAGACAGGATCGGAAGTGGAATCTTGAAGGGTTCCCAGAAGTGAGTGCCAGTTGCGCTGATATTTGCTGCTTTGACCGTTTTGTGACCTTAAGAACATGCTTATGAACATCATCTCCAGATGGCTGTCATAGCAGGTACTAAAAGTAACACCCAACAGGTGCTGGAAAAATTAACAAATATAAGCTTTTTTTTTCAATGGTATTTAATTATTTTAAATGCTCATTTTGGCTGCTCTCTCAATTGGAACCTCTTGGTTCTTTATATGGTTAGGACCCTTCCAATTGTTTTATTAGTATAAGGTCCAAAATCTGTTCCCAATGAACATGGAGGTAAATCTCCCACTAACTTCAGTGAAAGCAGAAGTAGGTCCTAATTTCTTTCAGGTTAGACAGAGTGTGATCCGCAAATGCAACATGTATCCACAAATGCAACATGTGCAGGCAGAAGCATGTTTGAATGCCATGAATTGAGGAATCAGGACTTAAGCTTGTAAAATATGACCATGTGAAAATTAGATCTTCTAAATCAGTGATGTTCAGCTTGAAACTTGCAATCTTCTTTCAGACTACTGTTTACTTAGAAATTTATTTCTTTTTTAGATACTTGGCATGTTTCGTAAAATTTAAGTGGTAATCTAAGACATAATAATATACAAGCAAAGGAAAAGAATAAACTACCAATATCCTGTTATTTGTAACTATGATATTAAAACAATTTAATGGAAGACTATTAGTTTTGATTTGTAAGAATAAACAAATAAAGAAGTCTTGAAAATTATCAGCTTTCTGTTCAGTAATGGAATATGATCAACAAGAGTTAACAGTAAAAAGTTCAACACTTTTCTTTCTATCTCCTAGCATGGACTGTAGAAGGGAATAACACACTTACATAGATCACACGGCTTGGGGAACCTGATGTACTTGACGCAGGAATGGAAATAACACTCTCAGAGGAGGTTCTAGTTTCCTACAATAGAAAACAAAAAGCAAAGGGAAATTTATATGTACCTTTCCAATAAAGAAAAAAGGTAAAAAGTCTTCCATTTAAACTCAGAGTTGCCATTCACAAATAGAATGCTTCAGTAAACATATGCATCAAAGAGCACTAATCAGTTGTCCAAATAATTATTTTTTGCCATAGTCCGTAAGTTATCTCATGTATCATTTACCTTCCGCCTAACAGAATGAATTCCAGTGGTGTGGTCCTGGGCTACCAGAATGGTGCCAGAAGGCTGTTAATGCTGGTGCAGTTATAGACGCTCTGAAGCAGGGGTCATTTAGGTGCCTAGGAGCAGAATTTGAGTCCCTATGTTTATGTCAAATTTTCACATTTGGTTTCTAAAATGTCTCATGGTTCTATGCAATTAATCAGCACCAGTAAACAGCACCTAGAACATTGCAAATAAAGCAAAATGCAAAAAAGACTCAGGACCAGACCATCAAAGATATTTATATGCCTAACTTCTACTGAAATGAAAAGAGGCTGGATGTGTAACTGCGTTGTAGGATCTTGCCTTCAGTCTCTTATTGCTATCTTACTATTGAGTCCATCAGATTAACATTCGTTACAATCTTAGCAGGCTTGTATTCCCTGTTGTTGTTTTTTAACTAGTTAGTGCATTTAAAATGTCATCTCTAAGTCATGACATAACTTCACTGTAATGTTTTTGGTAATTTCCTTTATTGCGAGAAGCAGCATTAATTATAAAGAAAAAAGAAGGGCTGTAAGATGCAAGAACAACAACAGCAAATGAATGTTCTTGACGGTTATTATTCAAATTGAAACCAACTTGTGACAGCCAGACGTTTAAATTATAAAATAATGAAATAACATTTATTCCTTACACTATCCTTCAATCGTGTACTTTAGCTCTTCATAAAATATTTTATGCTTGTACCGAGAAAGCTGTGCTTGATTGCAAATGGATGTGAATTTAGCCAGGAGCACAGTAATGGTCATGCACAGTATTGCTAAATCTAGCAATTTCTTGTCTGTTAGTGGTATTAAGCTGTAAGATAAGGGGTTGTCCTATCTATTCTGTTCACTAATGGTGGTAGCTGCTACCTACTAGGCATAGCCACAAAATGGCTCTAATTTCATAGTTGTCTGCAGGAGACATTCAACATAATTATCTTCAAAAAGCCCCTGACTAAATAATTTATAAAATGTGATTAAGGATTTTACAGTAAATCTTTGATCTCTAACATGACACTACCTTACCAACAGAAAAAAACCCCTATGATGGCTCTATATCATGTTCCTCTAGAAAAATAATGGTACAGTTTGAACCTCTCTCATCTGGCACTCTCTGATCAAGCAACATCCATGGTCTGTCATGATTTTAGTTAGCCCAATGTCCACTTATCATGTGTGTGGCCAAGTTTCCCATGGTCGCATAAAACTAAGTTTGTTTACAGCTACCAGTCTTGGCTCTCAGTATTCTGTGCTGTTATTTAGCTCTAATTTCCCCTACATGTCTTTTAAGGTAGTAGAAGTGTTGGTAACGCTGCTGGACAATATTTATCTCCTATGCTCTGGCAAATTCTCTGATTTGGCACAAGTCAGGTCCAAAGGGTGCCAGATTAGAGAGGTTCATCCTGTACATTTCTATTTATCATTGTTAATATTGCATTTTTGCTGCTTGTCTAGTTTGTTTATATGTCTTAAAAGTTAGATTGTGAAATCCTTCCTCATATATAATGCCTCACTGCACAAGTAGACCTACTACTTCTGGAACACTTAAGAAGAGAGGTAGTATTCAGTATGAGTAATGGGTCACTAAACAAATGGTTATATAAAACCCCCACTATTTTGGAATGTCTGGCTGATCTAGGAGGTGCTCTGCATTGTCCATTACTTCTCTTACAAACTCTTCACTAACAAGTTCTGATCCTGTCTCCCCCCCAAACTCACTCCTCAGTCTCTCTATTCTTTTACTTTCTGCTACTCTCTACACTTTCCTTTTGCTCCCTTCTCCCAGCATTCTGCCTTTGCACCTATCCACCAGTTTTTAGCCTCACCGTCCTGTGATGACTCTTGTCCTTCCTCTCCTTTACTTTCATATTTTCTTTCTCTTCTGGCTCCTTCCCATCTGTTTGCAAGCTTGTTCTTATATCGCTTAGATAAAAACAATATCCCTCAGCTCTACCAGTTCCTCCCCAACCTTTCCCCCTCCACGTCATCTTTAAAGCCCAGAGCATGCATCCGCCTACTCTTTCTGCCCTGTTCACATACATTATGGTGTTCAGTACATAGATAATAAACATTATTTTAAAATGATCACCCTGAGGATGCTCTCCGTCATTTATTAAAATGTCAGTCAATTGCCCCATCCTACACAGTCACCTCTTCAAGCTGTGCTAACAATCCTCTACTGCAACTCTTTATAAAATTCCATCCTTCACTTTTCTTTCTGTTACGTAAAAATGCACTGGTAAATAAAAAAAAATCAAAGTAAATGAGAGATAATTAGTGCTGAACAGCTTTTTGCTCCAATTGTGTATTTCTACTCCAACAAAACGCCCACAGACTTTTATAGGATTTACACACAGAGAGCCTCTTTCACTCTACTCAAGATTAGAGGCATTATGCATAGCACTTGAGAGATGTGTGACTAATGTGTCAGTCTTTAAACAATGTCTCATGAGGGTATTTTCTTTGCCATGGAGAGAAATCCAGCTAGCACATGGCCAGCAAAACAGTATCCACTGTCCTTCGTTTAAAGACAAAAAAGTAGTTAACTACATAGGAACATATGACTGGAAGGACATGGTGGGTAAACTAATCCAGTTCCTGCTATCACTCACAGGCACCCCCATCATATCATTCCATTCCTAAATTTATTAATCCCTATAATTTCAAAAGGCTGCATGAAGTTTTAGCCCCACAATTTCTACTAATCAATTGGAAAAAGAGGTTGTGTAAGTCTGATAATGTAAGATATATTGTTATGCTGAATCAATAGCACTTGTTTAAACCAAAATACACAACTGTCAAAAAGGACAACATGGGAATATTTTTTCTTTTGATTTCTATCCTGAAATACCACTGGCTATTGGCTCAAATTTATGAGGCAAAAGGTTAATTGCTTACTTCACATTTTAAATGCTCACTTGAGTTCAGAGCTCTCCAAAAAATGATGGACCAGATCAATCATTTATCTCTCTTAAACACATAGGTACAATACATGTGACCTTCACCTTCTAGGATGAAGCCAAAAATAATATCTATCAAAGCTGTACTTCAATCAGAGATGTAATTGCTAACACAGCAGATATTTAAGTCTTTCATAGTCCTGGTCGGAATTCTATCCTGCTCTGCCCCATGCATTTGCAGTATAACTTTTCTCGAGCCTAATCAAAGCTCTTTCAAATACTTGACTCAACTAAAGAAAATCATCCAAAAGACCCCACATTTGGCCTCCCTACATTAAGCAAGTCTATGCTATCTCAATCCAACATCTTGAGACAAACTGTGTCTCTATTGATTAATCTCCTTTCCACTACACAGACAGATCATCCCCTTTTCACTACACAAATATTCTTATTGAGTATTTATTTAATATCAGAGATTAAATTAGGGCGAGATGGTGTAGTGGTGTGGCAGCTCAAAAAAAAAAAGGTGCTAGAAAGAGATTTTTATGTAAGGAAAATATACCTGGATTCCAATTATTCTTTATTTATATACATCTAAATAGAGAGGCTGCCAGTGCATTAATGTTTTCTTACATCCTAATCAAAAGACAAGAAGTTATATGCATAATCTCAGGCCAAGAATTTCCTCAGAGAATAGGTTTAATCAATACCTAGCAAAAATACAGATTATAAATTATTAGAGGTTGGATCTCTCTGGTCCGCATCACTTTGACCTGAGTGGTTCTGAAAAAGAGAATTTGCTGGGACAGGGAAGGTGTCCTGCTACCATCCCCCAAACCTGTCACCCGCAGCTGGTAGACTGCCCCAGCAGATAATCCTACCTCGCCCTCCCCCCGAAGCTGGTTGGGCTGCTTGCCCAGCTATTGCTGGCTCTATGGGCAGCATAGACTCTGGCTTCTGCCATGGGGCTCCATTCCTGTTAAGCTGGGAGCAGCAGTGGGGCTGGGGCTCCAACCCTGGCCCTGTGACATTGGGAAAGCTTTGGGGCTCTGGCCCCATCCCCGCACAGCCAGGGGAAGCCACAGAGCTCCAGTCCCAGCCCGGCTTTGCCCTGCAAGGGGAAGCCGTGGGGCTCCGGCCCCAGTCCCACGATGATCCCAGCCAGGCTACCAACTTTGATGTCCCACCTGGCTGGCCCTCTTGTCCTTAGGCTCCTGGGCTCTCTGCTCCAGGAGCATCCATGGTTTGGCAGCCAGACCCAAGAGTCCCATATTTTGGAGGTACAACCTGTACTGCGCCATCTGTACTGTCACTTACAGTCACTATGCTTAATAATCTCAGTGGCCAACAGACCAGTAAGACAATGTAATCAAACTGGATTAAAAGATGCTTCATTTACCTTGCCTTTTTCTTCAGTCTTGGCTGCCTGTCTACAGGCTGGATGCCAAATGGAAGTTCCTGGAAATAAAAGCCAACACTCTGGTGAATTCTGACCTATAAAATGCAGCTTTTAGTATGAAGGGCAGAACACTAATCTACAAAAATCATAGAAACTGGGGTGAAATCTTGGCCTCACTGAAGTCAGTGCGAGTTTTTGCTGTTAACTTCAGCTGAGTGAGGCTTTCACCCATGATGTCTAAGTCAAAATATGACAACACTGTGATATTCAGAAATCATTAAACAAGCTTTGCTGGGGGGTTTTTAACTCTGAAAATTCTTCAAACCACAACAACCTCTTACCCACCAAAACAAACAAAATGTCTTTATTTCCCTTTTTATCCTTGGAATAAAGTACATACTTTGGTTCAGATTCTCAGCTGGTATAAAATGCCATAGTTCTATTGACTTATGCTGATTTACATCAGCTGTTATTCTGGCCTCCTATCTGAATTGCTCATGAAATTAACATTTATCTTGTGGTCCCAACTTATAAGTGGGACTTAAGATAAATGCTGTCACATTAACTTATTTCAGGAAGATTGAATTAGGCCGTGATACTCAGACCTCAGTTGTTCAGGAGCCAAATTATCAATAAACATTACCCCAAAGACCCACATTAATGTAAATTAATTGTTTCATTTACTATAGAACTATTCATATTTAAATAGTATGGCATGGGAAATATTTAGCTTACATATATACATTTCACAGCAAATAAGTTAATAATTTAGTAAAGTAAATAACTTGGAATGTTTAATAAAATAATAAAACATCCTGATTGGTTAATAACTAAATCGCACAGTGTTTTAATATTACATGCTGTAAATTGCTGCTGGGGACACATTAAACAACTACTTGTGGCTCTTAAGATGCAGTATATCACTGGAATAAAGTAAAGAGAACAGGAAACAAATATGAAGCAAGCCTTAAAATACAATACATTAAAACCAGAAGATTATGGTACAATGGATATTAGAAAAAAACCCACAACAGAGTAGTCCTATTTTAGAACATATTAGCAAGCAAGCTTCAAAGAAGAGAGTTATATCATGAGAATTTAACTTTAAAAATAATGTCCACCATTGTTAATTCAAGATGCTAAGGAGCCATGGTCTTTTTGTTTTAGCTAAAGAAGTGTGTCTGCTTTTCTTTGAGATAAACTAGCAGTTTAACTACAATTGCAAGCACATTACCAAATAGAAATGGAAAAGCTTGGTCTGCAGGGAACAGGAAAATGGATGATCTGAACAACAGAAATTCACTTGATATATAAAACAACAACAAAAATGTACCTATATATAATCAAAAGTGTGCAAGTGTTTCAATTAAATGTCAGTGTCCTTAAGGAAACAGACTATGGGCAGAATTCAAGTAACATAAATAATAATTAAATAATAATTTAATAACCAGTAGCACAGTAATAGTTAAAAAAAAAGGGCATCGTCCAAGACAATGAGATTTCCACAACAGGACAATCTTGTGCCTCTATGCCCCACATTTGGTTTGGAATATTTTACCCGAATTTGGCTACATTAAATTAATAATTTGGGATAAGGGTATCATGGTTAATTTATATTTACGTTCCAAATATGAGTAGGCAGCAAATGATTTCACCATAATGTGACTTTTACAATTTCTGGGCAAATACTGTTGAGAAAGTATTTTTGTGGTATTGCAGGTTTATGAAATGGGCCTGGTAAAACTGTTCAGTGCTATTTCATGAAGGATGTTTTCAAGAGGGAGGGTTGTATCTGCGGGGGGATGAAAATAAAATTTAAATACGATAAAAATGATACATGCAACAAACAGAAAGGGAGAAAGAGAAAAATAGCACAGAAACTTGAGTAGAAAACAAAATAAAATGTGAAAAGTCAAACATAACATCAGTACAGTCAGAATATAGAGGTAAACTGTACGCAAATTTAACTGCAGAAAACAAAAAAAGAAAGACTCTGGAGAATACCCCTGAACTTTGGGAGTATTTCAATCTGATCTCAGAGCAAAAATTAGAAAATGCTGAGCTTGCAATTAACCAAGAAACCACAACATTCCCTGGCTCCTGTAGTGAGTGAAGTCACCGATCACACTGGCCCTTATTGAACTAATTTCCCATAAATCAATGTGACAAGAGAATAATTGTGATTTTAAATAATGTCAAGGCAAATCTTATGAAGGTAGAGTCTAATTTTCTCTGTTTAAAGAATGAACACAAAAGTTGATTCAAGTGTAGTACAGTACTGATACTTGCAGGTAACCAGAGCTGAGAAAAACATTCCTCTTTGGTTAGTACATCAAATTGGTAGTTACCTCTGCTCATTTAATTTCTTTTTCTGTTTTGCCAAGAAAGTACACCACCAGAGAGGCTGTGCCTAGATGCTTATGCTAGAGATGTTTGTCTTATAAATGCAGATATTGTTTTAATAAATATACTAAGAATCAACACTAATAATATATTTTATTTGTTTACCTTGCAGATACATTTCTTCTCCTTCTGCAAACATCTGACTGCATCTGACACATCGTGCACAAACTGGGTGATAATGTTTTTCTCCGGCCTGTTGGGGGAAAAAAAGTAATTATGGACAATGCTAATTCTAGATAGCCCAGCAGTTTATTCACTGGTTACACCTTCATATGTTGTACTAAGGTTTGGAAGAAAATATTTCATTACAGGTTATTTTACATGTTATTTTCTTTCAAACTGCGGAGTGCATTTTTAATTAAGTAAATTGAGTAATACTAATCAGTTAAATCAAGTTTTCAAAATCGCAGTGCTGATTTCAGTTACAAACAATGCTTCTTTTAAAAATAAATATGCTTTTGATAGTAGATCTGATCTGATTCAATTTAAGTGAATGAAAGTATTCCTATTGACTTGAATGAGAGTAGGATTGAGCCTTAAATTTACTTAAAACCAATGAGATGACTAAAAAAATCAAGCTTCCAAATACCTTATACCCTATTTTACCATAGCCTGTTCCAAACTACTGCTACCTCTGACAAAGCTTGTTCTTGTCCACACAAACTTATGCCCAAATAAATATGCTGGTTTCTAAGGTGCCACAGCACTTCTCATTACCTCTCTTCATGTAACAGAATAACCAAGGATCATCCCAATGAAATTAACTATCACTAAGTTTAAAACATACAGAAGATAGTACTTCATACAACACACAACGCCAGGAGATGTTCTGAAGATTGAAAGTATAACTGGGCTCTAAAACGAATAAGATAAATTCATGAAGGACAGGTCCATCAAGGACTCTTAGTCAAGATAGTAAGGGATGCAACCTTATGGTCCAAGTTTCCCTAAACTTGACTGCCAGAAGCTGGCACTGGACAATAGGGGATTGATCACTTAATAACTGATCTGTTCATTCCCTCTGAAGCATCAGCCATTGTTGGATCACGTGATACCAAGGAAGGCATCCCATTGGTCTGACCCACTATGGCAATTCTTATGGTCTTATTTATGGTATAAAATCTTGGCTCCAGTGAAATCAATGGTAAAACTCCCATGATTTAATCAGGGCCAGATTTCATCCCCTTTGACCAAATGACCTACTAGCATTAAAAAACAAAATGGTGTTGACATGGACCACATGTTACATTATGCATCAAATACTGCAGACCTGACTGAGGAAAAACAAAGCTGAAGTCAAGAGTCAGTTCAGAAAGTATTTTGTCTTAATTAGAAGTGATTGCATGATTTGGCATGATTAGATATCCTGTTTCCTTGGAAAACTGAGATTGGAAGCTAATACAATGAATGTCAGGTATTGGTGCTGTTCGTGTGTTTCTACAGTATGGCAAGTCTCTTTGTTCTGTCCAGAAATGAACAGTCAGCAGTCAGACAATAATAATAAATCAATAATTAATAATAATTAATTGAAGGCACTCAATAATCCAGCAAAAATTACATGCAGTTAGAATTTAATTGTGACTAGATGGATGATCTGACTGATAATTTATGACTGACAAAGTCAAAGGGGTCAGCAAAGGTTTGTATCACAAAGAATAATCTTGGTCCACTAGCTGCTCTCTCATTACTAAATGCTGGGATCTGATGAACACAAGTTCAAAGATTCTGTTTTTTTATTTCATTAATATAAAACGTATTTTACCCACGATAACCTATTGCCATGCAGATATGTAACACCAAAGTTAAGAAAGAAAACAGTACATTAACTGAACACTTTGGATCCTTTCAGCAGATATGGGAGAATTACTTCAGCAGGGATAAGGAATGTGCTGATAACATGTTTGTGAGATCTGTGTTTATGTAAGAGAAGTACTGTAACTCTGAGGTGGAATAACAGCCCTTAAAATATATATCTCCTGATGCACAATGACTTATACCTGATTCACCCTATGGCTTAAAAGAAGACAGGAGGAAGATCTTTTGGCTGAACTATATCGTCTGGGGAAAATATTAAAGAATCAGACTTTTTATCATCTTCTCTGATTTTCTGCTCTGTTAACAGGATGAAAAGAGGTTTCTATTTCTTTGTACAGCTACTAGTTAGAGTTTAGTTATTATACAGGTAAGTGATCTGAAATTATAGATTTAGGTTGTCTTTTAAAATTTTGGAAAATCAGTTCTAATATAATGAGACTTCCAAATTCTTTCAGAATTTATTTAAATAGCTTCTTTGGGCAATAAAGTCATTGACTTCCTCTAGATATTTTTAGCCAAGGTTTGTATTGTATCAGCTAGAACAAATCAATCAAATTCACTGAGATTTTGCTCTGCATTAGCATCTGCCTATATAATTCCAACTATCCAAAAGAAATGTTCCTTTTTTTTTTTGCCTTCAAATCCCAACTTCGGGTTTTTCTGATTTATTTCTGTGTTCATCTATGCTTATGTAATCTACACACCTACTGGGTGTAGTTCACTGTCCCATGTAGGGGCACTTAGACCACTTACAGACAGAAAGAATGAGTATACTCCATCATACCTTATAGGGTTTCTGATGAAGTTCGTGGGATTAGGTGTAACCAAAGTTTTTTGTATAATACAATAATAGTGATTTTTGGCCTAAAGCCAGAATTAGAACATGTGAGTGTGGAATATGGTAGTTTTCCTTTCACTTGAAGTGTTTAAGTCAAGACTGAATATCTTTTAACAAGACAGGTGATAGCAGAGCCTAAGGTTATAGTCTTACTGGGTGAAATTCTATGGCCTGTGTTTGGCTGGCTATCAGACTTTATGATCTCTTCTGGCCTTAAAAAAAAAATCTATGAATACTTTTCAGTAAGGACTTATAGGTTGCTACAACCAATTCTCACAAATTTTCCACAAAACATTGTGAACATAAGTGTGATTTCTAGAAAGCACGCATACATTTTTCCTGTTGAATTGTGTTAGAGTACTTTTAGTTAAATGAAGTACATATACAATTTTAACCAACTATTATTCAAGACTGACTTTGCAACTGTACAACTAATTAGCTGCCAATTTCCCTGTATTACCTATTCAGAAGGATCTAGAAAGTCTGCAGAGAAAGGGAAAGTTAAGAGGCACTTACATCAAAGCTGGTTGAGAAACAGAAAATGCATTCAACAGATATTTTCACAAAAAGTTTGTCTGTTTTTCAATTACATTTTGTTTTTCTTACAAACGTTCCGACCCATATGCATTAGAAGCCTTAATACACAGAGCAACAAATGGTAATGAAGAACACAAATATCAGGGAAATGTCTCTTTTAGGCATACAGATGTCTGTGCTGCATTCTTCTGTCTTGTGATTCAGGGTACAGGACTCCACTCCAACAGGAACCAACTTTGAACAGATCTATTTGGGAATGAGATGGGAAGCGGAGGAACAGTAGCTCCATAACATGTTCTAAAACCCCCTCCACACTAATTTGGAAGGGTTGGGGTTCAAGAGAGATTATGTTCCATTCTTCATATTCACTCTTGACAGATTTTACAGACTGACGTAATTCTGATATTTCTTTGTAAGCACTGGTATATATACATATTTTTTACTGAGGAATCCTAAAGTATCAGTAGATCAACAAAGAATAATTGACAATATTTTATTATAGTAACATTTATTCCATAGTAACAGAAACAAATTCCAATCATATAGGACCAGATTCAGCCTTACTCATGTTGAATAAAGTGTTTGTGTCTCTGTAGTCCCAGCAAACCAGATGGAAAAACTCACTGAATAATGTACTAACATGGTTGCAGAATAAGTATCCCAGAATCTGGCCCATTATAATTTGTTCATCAGATGTAAGAATCCTTGCAATGCCTTACAGCAACATAGAGCCAGATCCTCAGCTGATGTAAGCTGTCATAGCTCCACTCAGAGATGGACAAGTTACACTAATTAGGAATCTGCCAAAATGATGAAAATAGATGTGTATTTTTAGGACATATCAAAGTGTACCAGCTGGAATTGAGATTTATTGTGTAAAACTTTTGCCCTACTGATTACAGAAAAGGGGTAACGAAAATGCACTGCCAGTTTCTCCAAAAGCCGACTGAAACAGAGGCAAGGCTATTTTAAAAAAGACAAATTGCTCAACTGGTGCCACATCTTGAACCAAAGCTGGACTACCAATTCCTACAGAACTCGGAAATGTTGTGGCCTTAAGCATATATATTGTTGAAAAGATGGACTTGCCATTTTTTTTGGTTGCATTGATGTGAGGGAGTCTAATGTGGCAATCAAATTCCTAACCATATGGATGTTTCTTCACTGAAGTTTGGAAGCTAGGTTTGCCAGACTGTATTTTATAAAATGGGCAACACTGTGACAACAAATACACATGCAATGCGTAAGTGACAATTTGTTCTCATGAATCTCTTACTATTTTTGATCCTGACTGTAAGAGCTCCTCTAATGCCCTACTTCAGCCACCTGTACATGCTGGAAAAAGTGATATTATGAGGTTAATACTGTTCCAAGGAAAATCCTTCTAGTCTGAGGAAAATATGCCACGGACAATGGCAGTGTATCCCTGCAGCAACACAAGTTACCAAGAGCCCATCTGTTTATTCTTTATGCTGGCTTCTGAGAGAATAGAGTGTCAAGATCTTGGTTCCTATTTTTGAGTTGGTCAATAGTTAGAGTCCCTGGATTCCTAAAGGAGGACCTAAAGAAGAATATGGTCAACAATTCCTCTCCTCAGACATGAAAGAACAGTTCTGTGTAAATGTAAAAAAGTTCAAATATACAGCAGGCAAAGCTTTCTTGGGGCTAGTGAAATTCCGTGGAATTAACAGGAACCACAACAAATCTCATCACCTTCCGCTCCAAGTGCATGGAGGCAGGGTTACTTCAAAGGACTTTTGGATCTTGCTGTCTTCAATATAAACACACAGCACAACATACATATTCTGATGCTAGCAGGCCAGGTGCCAGATCACACCCAGGCCTCCCAAACCTCACTGAACATTGACAAGGAAATAGCTGGAAACCAATTTAGCTATTAGTATGTTAGCATTTTAAAAACTGATATTCATTTTAGGATGTGTTTAAAAATGATTAAATCTATAGGGCTATGTTTACATAGCAGCGTTATTTCGGAATAACTG